TACCCTCTTGCTAAGTATTCTTATATATCTACGTCTAGCTTCCAAGACAAGCACGTTATTACTTGATTGCAAACTGTTTATTGCTCGTAGTGAGGATAGGGAGTCAGAAATAATTAAGCTGTCGACTTCAGTGTTGTCAATAATTTCGAGTGCTACCAGTATTGCCACCAACTCGGCTTGCGATTGTGATTGTTGCCGCCGAAGGGGGCTAGTTTATTGTGCACCCCATACTCATCCTGTGAGCGGTAGCGCAAAAGCATTACAGAGGGCACAAAAGGTCTTTATCAGACCTCATCTTAGATTATTACATAAACAATTTCTTCGGCTTGCGAGTATACTTTAGTCCTGGATCATAGTATTGTCGGCGATTTGTCAGTAAACTAATAAGGTGGTCAATTAATCATTCTGAAGTTGATAGGCCTCAAGTCCAACACCGTCATCCAATAGCTCAAACGGATACATATTATTTACCATGTATACATTATGTAGGTGAATGTGTACTGAGAGTTTACAGTTGTTCGGGAGCCAAAACATGCACCAACTTTAGTGAATATTTTTGGCAGCCAAATTCGCATACTAGTAATGTGTTCACTTTATGTATAAAATCTGCGTTAACTGTTTAACATGATTGAATTGTCATTTTTTCTCATTACATAAATACATTTTCATGTCAAAATATCGCAGATAGGAAAACAATATGACAATAATTGGGGGATTCTTCAGGCCGTAGGTGCTTGTGTCAGCGTCACCCCGACCGGAAGAGCCGCCGGGAAACAACAGAAGCGAATCGCGTTGGCGGCGTCGAGGAGGATCTGCGCCTCCTTCTTCCGCTCCAACCCTTCCTGGAAGGGGGATCTAACCCTCCACACAAGAAGTACCAGTACTTGATGGATTGTGGAGCTGTGCGCTATGTACGAGATATCCTATAGCCTGTAAGGGAGATCCTAACATTTATGTAGGCATATCCAATCTTCTATGTACCGGGAATACCAGTCTTGGGTTTCCTCTGGCCCGTGATGGTGATGGTGGTCATAGTGGTGGTTCAACATCATGTATATTGTTTACGTTTTCGTGAGCCTTGACTCCGTCGTTACCGTGACCTACGGAGCACCGCCACCAGGCAACGGTACACAGCCCGTCCTCCTAAGGTTCCCCAACGTCAAGAAACTGTCGTACTAAAGTGTCCCTTATCCTAATCTACCAGAGGACCCAAAACAGAAAACGGGACAGTATGTCAAATTCGTGAGCTGCTAAAATTTTCTGGTATGATAATTTTTAGCCTTAGAGTACACGTCAAAATGTGACGCTGTATTAAGGGGGAGACGGGTGGGTTGGGTAGGACTTGCTTCCCGTTCTTAGTAATGATTGTTGCTGACAGTGTGACGGTCAAAGCTGTTCTCATTCTCACCATTCTCACTCACTCTCCCCTCCTCTTTGTCGCTCCCTCACACTCGGAAGGACTTTAAAAGCCTGAGCGCTCCCTTTCTTTAGACTTCAATAATTGGCAGGACTTGGACTGTCTCTGTGGGTGTCTGTCTCTCGCCACTGTTCATTATTTTCTAACATATTACCGTCCCCTGCACATCTACTTGTGATGGGTGGAGAGTCATTTAGCCCCTCTTCCACATGACAGGTTAAGTGACAGGAAAGTCATCCTATTTCCTCCGATACTCATGGTATCGGAGGAAATAGGATGAATTCGATCATCAATTTATACATAACATTCATTCATGATATTGAGGATAATTCCAAAATATTTTTTTTGTATTCGTTAATTACTTGGTGGTCGACTCACTCTTTCTGTAAATTAACTTTACTTTAGTAATATTATTTCAGTTTTTTCTTAATTGTTTAGGGAGAATACTATTACAATTTTTTTAAAAGGATTTTGAAAATCTGGCTTATGTTATCTGATATAAAGTAATTTTTTCCCGCAGGAGATAATTTTAACAAATGCTTTCATAAGAAAATGTTTTTACTGGAATTTGTAAAAATTATTATGTGTTAAATTATCATTAATATTTAAATTTTTATGTTTATAAAAGAGATTCCTTACATAAAATTTTCTTAATTTGCTATTATGAGCTATCAAATTTACAAATAAAAATACTGACGCTGCATAATTTAGTCCACTACGGGCTCACCATAGCCCGTGCTATTGGAACTTTTTGTTCCAGGTAGCGAATCTTAAACAACAACACCATACGTAATTTAGAAAATATAAACAATATCTACACACCATACAAGTCCCTTACGGGCTCACCATAGCCCGTGCTACCTTGAACTTTTTGTTCCGAGTAGCTGAATCTAAAGCAACAACAAAAACTATGCACCACAAAGTATATAACCACCTATTTGTGTATACAAATAAAAGTATAATGTCTACTTTCTAGCCAGGGTGCATACAGCCCCCGGGTCATCAATGTCCTCTACATCAACGAAACCAACACTCGCTGGTTGAGGTGTAAGCCATTGTCAAGTCTTACCTCTCACGTGGTCGACTGACCTGCTCCCCAACATTATGAAAAATCTGTACACAATGTGCTTTTTTGTATCCCCCCCCCCCCCCCCCCCCAAATCCTTATTTTTTTTGTAAGTTACAAAAATTAGAATATTTATAGTTTGTCACCATATGTGTTGTCTATCTCACAAATGTTCAAGCTGTAATGCCTAATTAGTGCGAAACGTCTCACTTTAATTCATAGTCAGCAGTCTTAAATATATAGGTATCTCTTACCTCACTTGATTAATTTATAGCAACTTATTATAATCCAAGACGTCAGTATATCACACTGGTACTCACATAAACTGAAGGTCATTGAATCTCTCTCTGGACTGCACTGTGAACAAATTCAAGTTAAACAACCCATCCTCACGCCAGGCTCGTTAGAGGAGCGGCCGGGACCTCCAAGACATTCGTTAACTTTTAACATAGTCAAAAAAGAGGTTTGTTCTCATGTGTAAATTAATATTATTATACAATAAAATTCAGTGTATAGTAGGCATAGGTTATGTTGGTGATTATTTGTGTTTGTAGTACGTGGTTGAAGCATTTACAGCGTTGTGGTTCGAGCAAAAGTTGTTAGTGAAGCACTTGTTCCAGAAGTGTTTGGACGTCTTCAGTTGTGAGTCTTGTGTGTAAACCGTTTTTCATTCATAAACAGGAGGGGTTGGCCTTTGTTTATGAGGACGGATTGTTTACAGTGTTCGAACAGAGGTTGTCAGCGAAGTACTGTTTGAGAAATGTTCGAACGTCATCAGTTGGGAGTCCTGTGTAAACCGTTTGTTGTTCATAAATCAGCCCGTCCTCCAAACAAAGATACAAAAGTGATCCCAAACCCCCAGGTGTTTATGAAGGAAAAACGGTTTACACACGACTCACAACTGATGACGTTCGAACACTTCCAGAACAAGTGTTTCACTGACGACTTGTGTTCGAACCACAACGCTATAAATGCTTCACCCACGTACTACAAATACCAGCCCATCCTCCAAACAAAGATCCAAAAGTGATTCCATGCACCCGCCAAACCCCCTGTTTATGAATGAAAAGCGGTTTACACACGACTCACAACTGCTGACGTTCGAACATATCCGGAACAAGTGTTTCACTGACGAATTTTGTTCGAATCACAACGCTATAAATGCTTCACCCACGTACTACAAATACAAATAATCGCCAACAGAACCTAGACACCTAACCTAACCTAACCTATGCCTATATATGCACAATATGCTAATATATTATAATAATTTATACTTGAGAAAATTACCGTTTTGAATGAACAGCATGTTAAAATTTATGAATGCGTCTGTGGGGTCGACCGCTGGATGTAATGGACTTGACTCGAGGACGGGTTGTAGTGAAGCACTGTCTGAGAAATGTTCGAACGTCATCAGTTACGAGTCCTGTGTAAACCGTTTGTTGTTCATATATATGGAGTTTAGCGGCTGGATTAAAGAGCATTTGGCCTTTGTTGATGAGGACGGCTGGAATCAGAGCATCTTGGTCGTATCGGACCTGAGTCGAGCTGCCAGAGTCGTCGACTCTTTCATTTATTCTTTTCCAGGTAGTAGGTTAGGTTAGGGTCGTGTGGTCGTCAATATTTGTATCATTTATATCATATGGGTTTAATACTTTATAATTTAATTAATACTGAATTACATAAATTTTAATCTTTTATTAATACTGATATTTTTAGCAACGTGTTCTGGGTAAATTCGTGATATTTTTGAGCACTTAAAGAATTATTATCCTCGAAACATCTAAATGGAAATAATTATAGATATGCACGTCTCTTGTCTCTATAATCATATATGTGAATGTATTTACAATTTGTATCTGCAGAATCGAGCTATATTAGCTCTTGGACCTCGCCTTTCTAAGCAATTTATTTTTCCTCTATTATGTCTAAATACATATATATATCTCTAACACATACACACACAATCCCCAGGAAGCAGCTCGTAGCAGCTGTCTAACATCCAGATACCCACTGACTGCTTGGTGAACAGTACACCAGAGTGAAAGAAACTCTGCCCATTTGTTTCTGCCTCTGCTGGAAATCGAACCCGAGCCCTTAGGACTACGCCCTCAGAGCGCTGTCCACTCAGCCGCGAGGCCCCTGTGCGCACCCGCAAGTACAGTATGTGTGGGTAGAAGGTAGACAAGAATAATGCTATGCTATACAGTTTGTTTAAATGTAGATATAAAAAGGGTCTTGTTCCTCTACATTAAGTGAGAAACAGCTGGAAAGGCGGTGCCCAAGAGCAGCGCTCGGTCCTCCAGACATAAATACACAATTAAGGGTGCCAGCATCTCACACACATTAGGCTTAGAAACCAATACACTAGTTATAGTTGACTGAAGATTTAGAGCCGAGACTAAAGAGCTGAAGCTCCATTTCACAATTAGCTGATTACACACTTTCATACACACGCACCTCATGTATGAGACAAACACAGGGACGAAACACATAATTAGGTTAACGAACTTATTCTTTATTGTTTATTTTTTTTAATTTATTAAAGGTCCTTCATTACAAGTCACCGTTGTAGTCGCTAATGACACGGTTGTTGTTGTTTAGATCTCTGCCAGTGTTGTTGCTTGTCCTTGTTATAATGGTGGCAGCGGGGGGATTCAGAGGTCTATAATAAGGGTTGTTGTTGTTGTTCACATCCCTGCCAGTGTTGTTGCTTGTCCTTGTTATAATGGTGGCAGCGGGGGGGATTCAGAGGTCTATAATAAGGGTTGTTGTTGTTTAGATCTCTGCCAGTGTTGTTGCTTGTCCTTGTTATAATGGTGGCAGCGGGGGGGGGGATTCAGAAATCTATAATAAGGGTTGTTGTTGTTCACATATCTACCAGTATTATTGCTTGTCCTTGTTATAATGGTGGCAGCGGGGGGATTCAGAGGTCTATAATAAGGGTTGTTGTTCTTGTTCACATCCCTGCCAGTGTTGTTGCTTGTCCTTGTTATAATGGTGGCAGCGGGGGGATTCAGAGGTCTATATTAAGCTTGATCCAATCGAGGTAGTGGGAGACTTGGGTGAAGACTGCTGGCTCGGCGTCACAGTTCTCCCCCCACGAGCTTATCCCCTGCTGCACCCCGTCACAGAACAGCGGCCCCCCACCGTCACCCTGCGGGAGAACAACGCTCAGTGGAGGCCCTGGAGGGAGGGTAGCAGGGAAGGAGTGAGGGGTTGGAGGGGAAGGCAAGGAATGTGGGACAAGGGAAGGAAGGAGAAAAGGAATGGAGGGAAGGGGGAGACAGAGTGAATAAGAGGGAGGGAATGGGTGGGGAGAGGAAATGAAGGTGGGTAGGGAGAAGAAGGTAGACTCTCTGACCCTCACCCCCGAGGGAGTGGAAGTATACTCACCCGACAGACTCCCTCACCCTCCCGAGGGAGGGAAAGTATACTCACCCGACAGACTCCCTCACCCTCCCAAGGTAGTGGAAGTATACTCACCCGACAGACTGTAGAATAGATGTAGAAAGAACCAATGAAGAGCAGAGGTGCCATAGGCACAGTCAGAGAACACTGTATAAACATCAGAGGTCCGCGGTTGTTCAACGTCCTCCCAGCAAGCATAAGAAATATTGCCGGAACAACCGTGGACATTTTCAAGAGGAAACTAGATTTATTCCTCCAAGGAGTGCCGGACCAACCGGGCTGTGGTGGGTATGTGGGCCTGCGGGCCGCTCCAAGCAACAGCCTGGTGGACCAAACTCTCACAAGTCGAGCCTGGCCTCGGGCCGGGCTTGGGGAGTAGACGAACTCCCAGAACCCCATCAACCAGGTATCAACCAGGTATCAACCAGACTCCCTCACCCTCCCAAGGTAGTGGAAGTATACTCACCCGACAGACTCCCTCACCCTCCCAAGGTAGTGGAAGTATACTCACCCGACAGACTCCCTCACCCCCGAGGTAGCCAGCACACAGCATATCGAGGAGGATGGCGTCCTCGCCATAAACGTCCTGACATTCAGAGTCCGTCAGGAAGGGAAGGTCCACGAATCTCAGCTCACTGCTTATATCTCCCGCCGACTGCTGCAGGAGGCGGGAAGCTTGGTGAGGGAGGTGCAAACACGGGCTTCAGTCAAGCCTTATAAAGCCTCACAAGTAGCACATGTCCTGTCCTTATAAAGCCTTACAAGTAGCACATGTCCTGTCTTTATAAAGCCTTACAAGTAGCACATGTCCTAGCCTTATAAAGCCTCACAAGTAGCACATGTCCTAGCCTTATAAAGCCCTACCAAGTAGTACAGGTCATGGCCTTATAAAGCCCTAATAACTAGCACAGGTCATGGCATTATAAAGCCCTCAAAGTAGAATAAGTTTAGAATTAAGTAATAAGAAGCATACCCCTAACTCTTAGATCATCTACGTGCAGCTGTTTCATGGCATCATCTTCTCGTAGATGCTGTAAATCCTACTAGAAAGAGACATAGTCCCACGAGACAGACGTAGTTCTTACCGATGTGTAGCCCCAGCCTACAGCGGTGCAGAGGGCGCCATCAACGGGCTCCTGGTAGTCTGTGGGCAGGGCTACCGCCTCCACCAGTCCCTCAACAAAGTCAAAGTTGCTATCCGTCTGAAAAGATGTATTATTTTTAACTCTCTCTCTCTCTCCTACTTCTCTACACCCATAGAGACCATTTACATGTTCACAAGACGAGTAGAGGTGACATAGGTACAATCGGAGAACATTGAACAGTTGAGATTCACGAGATCTTCAATCTACTCTCAACAAATCTGAGAAAAAATTAACACTATCAGAAACACAATTAGACAAGTTCCTGCATGAAGTGCCGGACAGCCGGATTGTTATGGATTGCGGGCCGCCCCAAGCAACAGCCTCCTGGATCATATAATAATAAAACAAGCCTGACCCGAGGCCGGTCTTGTAGAGTAGAACCCCCAGCACCCACTTCAGGTATGTTCTGAAGGTAAAGAGCTCGTGACACCTGAAGCCCTGAATAAGGGGGTTCAGTCCTTACCCTGATGATAGCGATGTCGTTAGCGCCCGTGGTAGTGGTGAAGTGACCCGTCACGAAGCTCTCGCTCCTCCTCGTCTGTTCCAACCCCGAGTCTTCGTCCAGGTTCTGCTCCCCCGCCACGATGTCAAATGATGTCTCAGAGTACCTGGGAGAGAGTGGGTGGGAGAGTGGTGGGGTGAAGGGCTGCTCGAAACCTTGCTCTTAATTTGTGGCTTATAAAATATACAAATACTGTATCTACTAACCACGTTAATCTTATCCTCTGTATATGCTATATTAAAAAAACATTATTATTCTTATTATTATTATAAAGGAGTTACCTTTCAAAAGAAACCGTGCTATCAAGTTTTCTATGAAAAACCCTATCTAACATAGAAAACGAATTCTGTTGCATACCTAACTTGTAAAAACTGCTACTAATGAATTATAGGATGTTCATTCGTATTGAGATTTTGTATTTGGTTTATAAATTGTGAGAATGTGCTCGAGCCCACACGTTGACCTAGATGCATGTATACATATATTCTCCCACACTCACCCCTTGACGCACTGCGCAGCCGTGAGGACATGGTTCTCGTTCAGAATAGTCCCCCCACACAAAAACGAAGACCCAAACAAAGTTCGGTGATAGATGGCCACCTGTAATAAAAATAACAAGTTGACAAAAAAACAACATTTGTGTCGCAATTGAAACACACATAAATGTTTCAAACACATTGAAAAAATAATACAAAAAACTTATTGGTTAATGGATTTCATTTGCAATGTCTGAACGTAAGCACCCAAGCTGAGATTTTTTTAACGTGAAGGTTTGAAAGAACTGGAATGCCATTTTCCGGGACACGAATCAAGCTGATCGAGGCCCCTCTAGCCAAGGACGACAGGCAGAGAGACAGACATGGACATCTGTGCACTGCTTCTCCCTCTGACTGAGAGTCCACGTTGATTAGAGCACGAATTAATCAAACTAGAAATGCTCTACAAATCAAGGGGCCCAGAATGTGGAATGACCTTCCCAATCATGTTAAAGACTGTACCTCTCTCAACCAGTTTAAGATGAAAACTAAGTACTACCTAATTAACTCCCTGTAACCTACCTTACCCCTATAATGTCAACACATGTCTGTTATTTTTTAACAATGCTGTTTGTCGACCAAATTGTATTTTTGCTGTTTTTTTTGCCTTGTTCCCCCCTTTTTTATTTGTATATTTGCTTGACACATTTTATACTTTAATCTCAATTAGTATTAAGTTTGTCTTTAGTGTTTTTCCTGCCCGAAACGCTTTGCGTAATAGTGGCTTTAGGCATTGTATGTACTAGCTCTATCTATAAATTCATCAATATTTGTATCACACCTTGTATGTGTGTACTTTACCTGAATAAACATTTGAATTTTGAATTTGATTCTGCCACTTACGGGCTATTCATGCCCGTGCCATCTCTTGGGTGGCTTAATCTTCATCAATCATCAGTTGGTTCTGAGTCTTCTTCAGGACCATCATGCAAAGAAACACGTCAGAACCCGACACAAACACGTCCAAACCCGACACAAACACGCCAGAACCCGACACAAACACGCCAGAACCCGACACAAACACGCCAGAACCCGACACAAACACGCCAGAACCCGACACAAACACGCCAGAACCCGACACAAACACGTCAGAACCCGACACAAACACGCCAGAACCCGACACAAACACGCCAGAACCCGACACAAACACGCCAGAACCCGACACAAACACGCCAGAACCCGACACAAACACGCCAGAACCCGACACAAACACGCCAGAACCCGACACAAACACGCCAGAACCCGACACAAACACGCCAGAACCCGACACAAACACGCCAGAACCCGACACAAACACGTCAGAACCCGACACAAACACGTCCAAACCCGACACAAACACATCAGTCAGAACCCGACACCACGTCCAACCCGACACAAACACGTCAGAACCCGACACAAACACGTCCAACCCACACAAACACATCCAAACCCGACACAAACACATCAGAACCCGACACAAACACATCAGAACCCGACACAAACACGCCAGAACCCGACACACACAAAGAAACACCAATGAAGGAGAAATCAACAGCTCACCAACTGGTCATGCGGATGTAAACAAGTAGAAGACTCCAAAAGCAAACAAAAGACCAACAATAACTCACTATGGAGGGAAACTGTCCTTGTTGGGCGACGTCACCGCCCACTATCCGGACATCCTGAGGGCCGGCCCTGGGGTACGTCCCACCCAACACTCCTGCAACACACGGAGTCTTAAATGCATGATTACAAAACTCAGTAGAAGTATGAGAAAGTTACTTCAACATGGTGTGATCAGCGGGGTACAAGGCACAGGCACACGCAGCGTATTGAGGCGTCTCCCAAGGGGACACCTGATATCCGCTCCTGGTGGCCTCAAGGATTCGAACCTTGGACCCCAGGGCACGGATATAAGTTGCATTGTGCACAAGACGGTTCGCCAATGGATTTTAAGACGTATGAAATATTTCCTAACCTAATCTAACAAATCCTAATCAACGATATATTTTACAGTTTTGATTACAGGTGATGCTCAGTACTGTACCCACTTTACTAGCGGTAGCTTTATTCACCGTTTATATGTAGATTATTGATTAACTTCAGTCACTTATCTATAATTATAATAATCGGAAATATAATAACCATTAATATAATTGTAAAACTAATAGTAATTATTAAAAGATTATTGGACTCAATAAATAATTAATTTAATAAAAGCGGAACACACGTCCCAGCCTGCTAGGACGGCCCTAGCTCGCCCAGCACCTGTACCTGCTGCCAGGGAAGCAAGTAGCAGCGACGCAGCAGTAACACCTCCCACCATGATGCCAAGAGACAGACTGAGGCCGTCCTGCTGTCACCACTTATAATGGTGACTTAATTCCCGTTTTCTATGGGGTAGGAAAATTGCCGATGATGTAAGTAGGTATAACTACCGCGGCCTTGTTAACCACTACTACTGTCGTAGTTACTTCGACTACTACAGCAACTACGATGCCTTGTACTGGTTCCCTCTTAGCATGGTTACCATACACTCTACAATTTTTATGCTATCTATACTTACGTAGCTTTAATACTAATCCTGATTTGAAACGCTTCTCAGATGGGTGTAGTGGAACCCATGAGCATCATACCAGCATTATTTATTATTAACATGTTTATTGACAAATTTAATTACAATTTTGCCTAATCTGAGGATTTCGTTAAAGTCTTATTAAAGTGAGGATAATGCTGGTGTTCACTGTCACGCAGGACAGAGGGTCATACATAAGACAATAGGTCTAAACTGTAGGGGATAAGTACATCTTATGTAATCTTGGTTACAATCACATGTATGGATATGTGAAAACAACTTTCTACTGTGCACTGCCACACAAGGGCAGGGATGGGTTCATAACTGATGCAGCTTATAAGTAATATAAATAAAAATTGTTCTTCATTCTTTAAAATGGACAAGCAAATTTTGGATAAATTGTTAGGATGTCGTCCAGAACACCTGAGTCAATGAAATAGTTACACAGTTGGTGGTACAAGAGGCCAGGAGGTCTAAAGTCCTTTACGGTTTCACATTCAACAATATAGTGTTCTAGTGAATGCATTAAAGGTTTATCACAGAGTTTACAATCTGAGTATTCTGGTAGTGGCTCAGCCTCACTAACCTGCCAGATGTGTCTATAGCCAAGGCGAATTCGCGTAATGACTACATCACATTGCCTGGTCCGGTTACTGTGCTGACCATACAAATACCTATTATTACAAAACTTGTCATAACTTTTAATACTGCAGCTTTCAGGTCTCTGGGCATTTCTTAGTTCTTATAAATCTGAATTAATTTCTTTAATTTGTATGTTTCTAATAATTGCATTATGACTTTGGACTATCATACCAATACCACAACCCACCTACCACCTACACCACAACCTACCTACCACCCACACCACAACCCACCTACCACCTACACCATAACCCACCTACCACCCACACCACAACCCACCTTCCATCCACACCACAACCCACCTACCACCCACACTCCACCAACACCACAACCCACCTACCACCCACACCACAACCCACCTACCACCCACACCGCAACCCACCTACCACCCACACCACAACCCACCTACCACCCACACCACCACCCACCTACCACCCACACCACAACCCACCTACCACCCACACCACAACCCACCTACCACCCACACCACAACCCACCTACCACCAACACCACAACCCACCTACCACCAACACCACAACCCACCTACCACCAACACCACAACCCACCTACCACCAACACCACAACCCACCTACCACCAACACCACAACCCACCTACCACCAACACCACAACCCACCTACCACCCACACCACAACCCACCTACCACCCACACCACAACCCACCTACCACCAACACCACAACCCACCTACCACCAACACCACAACCCACCTACCACCCACACCACACCCACCTACCACCCACACCACAACCTGCCACTACCACCCACACCACAACCTGCCACTACCACCCACACCACAACCTGCCACTACCACCCACACCACAACCTGCCACTACCACCCACACCACAACCTGCCACTACCACCCACACCACAACCCAACTACCACCCACACCACAACCCAACTACCACCCACACCACAACCCACCTACCACCCACACCACAACCCACCTACCACCCACACCACAACCCACCTACCACCCACACCACAACCCACCTACCACCCACACCACAACCCACCTACCACCCACACCACAACCCACCTACCACCCACACCACAACCCACCTACCACCCACACCACAACCCACCTACCACCCACACCACAACCCACCTACCACCCACACCACAACCCACCTACCACCCACACCACAACCCACCTACCACCCACACCACAACCCACCTACCACCCACACCACAACCCACCTACCACCCACACCACAACCCACCTACCACCCACACCACAACCCACCTACCACCCACACCACAACCCACCTACCACCCACACCACAACCCACCTACCACCCACACCACAACCCACCTACCACCCACACCACAACCCACCTACCACCCACACCACAACCCACCTACCACCCACACCACAACCCACCTACCACCAACACCACCACAACCCACCTACCACCCACACCACAACCCACCTACCACCAACACCACAACCCACCTACCACCAACACCACAACCCACCTACCACCAACACCACAACCCACCTACCACCCACACCACAACCCACCTACCACCCACACCACAACCCACCTACCACCCACACCACAACCCACCTACCACCCACACCACAACCCACCTACCACCCACACCACAACCCACCTACCACCCACACCACAACCCACCTACCACCCACACCACAACCCACCTACCACCCACACCACAACCCACCTACCACCCACACCACAACCCACCTACCACCCACACCACAACCCACCTACCACCCACACCACAACCCACCTACCACCCACACCACAACCCACCTACCACCCACACCACAACCCACCTACCACCACACACCACAACCCACCTACCACCCACACCACAACCCACCTACCACCCACACCACAACCCACCTACCACCCACACCACAACCCACCTACCACCCACACCACAACCCACCTACCACCCACACCACAACCCACCTACCACCCACACCACAACCCACCTACCACCCACACCACAACCCACCTACCACCCACACCACAACCCACCTACCACCCACACCACAACCCACCTACCACCCACACCACAACCCACCTACCACCCACACCACAACCCACCTACCACCCACACCACAACCCACCTACCACCCACACCACAACCCACCTACCACCCACACCACAACCCACCTACCACCCACACCACAACCCACCTACCACCCACACCACAACCCACCTACCACCCACACCACAACCCACCTACCACCAACACCACAACCCACCTACCACCAACACCACAACCCACCTACCACCCACACCACAACCCACCTACCACCCACACCACAACCCACCTACCACCCACACCACAACCCACCTACCACCCACACCACAACCCACCTACCACCCACACCACAACCCACCTACCACCCACACCACAACCCACCTACCACCCACACCACAACCCACCTACCACCCACACCACAACCCACCTACCACCCACACCCCACACCTCGACTGTGAACGCCCACAGATGTTGTCTGGGACAATCCCAAAACTCTCCAGAATACTATAACTACGTCTGGCTAAAATATAAAGTTCATTAGCACAGTAACGCTATGTGTACTAGTGGCTTTAGGTAGTGTATGTACTAGCTCTATCTATACATCCAACATTATGTTTGTAACTAATCCTCTATGTATGTACTTTTACCTGAATAAACATTTGATTTTATTTGAATGATTTGAGTAATATAATCAATTATTATTACTTATTATTTTGCTCGTTATTTTTATTATTCTTTTATTTATTAGTGTTATTATGGTGTTATGAGTGTTGCTAGTATTATTTTTTGTCAATAACTCTTTTTGTTATTATTATTATTATTATTATTATTCACTTAAATTGAACTCTATAATTATTGTCTCACACAATAGGCAAAGAATGAGATGGATGTAAATATTATCCCTAGCATGATTATTAGTAAATCGTATATACCATACAAGTATATATTTAATACATGCATGTTCTTCTTGCCTGGGCTCTAGTTGCTTGCCAGCTCTGCAGTCGCCTGATTGTGCTCCATGTTTGTAGCAAATATACTTGTTTATGTGTGTGTATTCTGCTTCTCAGTGTATAGACACAAACTTTAAAATACAAAATTATACTTGCTGGTTGGTCAGTAAGGTGTTGTGGTGGCCTTACTAACAACCCTCAAGAGGTTGATATAGGCCGTAATCCCCAACACCAAATCAAACCAATATTTACAACAATGAAAAAATATATATATATATCCTTATTTGTATATCTAACCATTTACTTAATCAACACTACCATGGTGGGAGCCAGGTGTGGGGCCGCCAGGTGTTGCTGCCTCTTATCCTGGACCCGGTGTGTGTTCCCAGGCTTGTGGAGCCTCACCATACCTCACTTTCAAGGTGGAAAGGTAGGAAGGTTACAGAACCATATAAAGAGACCAGGCACTCAACCTAATTATTGATTTACTAAAGTACTGTATAAGTGTATGTAACAATAGATTGGGAGTAGATGGATTTAGATTCAGGAAAGTCCTGCGTAAATACTGGTTTCGGTTGTAGTTCTATGGAACAAATTGCTGAGTAACATAATAGACATGGGATCGTTGGATTGTTTTAAGCGTAGGTTAAATTATTCATAATTATAGGTTAGGTAGCGTAGCGTTGCTTAATATTCATAGATATGAATAGGTTTGGGTGGATATCTATACTGTATAGGAACTGCCTCGCAAGGCCCAACAAATAAACTTGCAGTTTTCACTATTCAAATGTTCTTAAATAGATTCACTTAAATTGTTAGCTCATATCCCAAGATTCCATTTACGATTTAATTTACATAGTTGATAAACATGATTTCAAATGAAGATATCGCTCAGCACACACACGCCAGTATATGGCTGTGTTACATCTTAAGCCCATATTGTTTTATATTTAAGTTCTTGAATACAAAATGAACGGACCATAAATGAGCATGATATAATATAGTCACCTGGCGATAGTGTTCTCCAGGAGCGGTCTCTCAAGCTAACAAACCAGTATGTTTATCCTCTCAGCCCAGACTGTGTTGTGCATCGCCACCTCCAGTGTGGGGGTCTTAAGTCTCATAGCTCACATGTAAACAATTGTTGAAGGCTTTGCGAATGTTTGCGAGAATGAGGAACAGAAACGATGTTCTTGATGAACATTACTTGGTGATCAGAACAACCCTCGTTACAGTATCAACAATCCCTTAAGAACTATAGGAAATCAAAGAAAATGGGAGATGAGTGTACCTTCATGTCCGCAGTCGTCACTTGCAGCCCCGGGGTTCCCGCAGTCTGTCTTTAATAGGAGCTAAGAGAACCACATGCGTATCTCAGGATGCTATTTTTAACGTTTCTGTAACTCTCGGGTACCTACATACTGCTAAGTGAATAATGGCATCAGGTGACAGGAAACGTGCCTCTACGACCTAGTCTTAACACCAGAATCGAACCCGGGAAATTTTGGTGATTAGGCAATGGCCATTCAGCCTTTGGAGGATTATTTCCACCACAATCGCCCACTGACCAACTCTGAACATGAACATCATGTTGGGCATAAGACCTATCAACTTTTGGAGAATTAAGGTCACCAAAATACCTTACTTTCTGACCAACATAAGTGTTGTGCATAAGACCTATCAACCTCTAGTAGAGTTATTAAGACCACCACACTAGCTTACTGACCAACTAGCAAGTATACTCTCAGTATACTGAGAGGATACCCACCGAGAAGGTGGGTACACCTCATGTTGATGAATTAATCAGCGTTGCAGAAAGGATAAAAATGAAACATGTTTAAACACTATTACAACAGTAATATTATATTAAAGTTAAAATCATACATAACATTACATTATCATTAGATCAATATTTTGTTATAATTTTTTTAATATTAGTAATCATTAGCATTGGATTACTTACAAATGTAAGAAATGTTAAGAAATTCAAAATAATGTGTTAAAAATTGTCGGAGATGTTTTGTCTGTGTGTGTGTTTCAGCATAACTTTTGCCTTCAGGACGTAATTTTATTAAAATTTAAAATTACGGTCTTTCTTTTATTCAACGTAAAACACAATCAAGTCTTCTGTTTTGTTATATTCTTTCATTATGCTGTACGAGTATGTGGGTGATATTGTGTACTCACCTAATTGTACTCACCTAATTGTGCTTGCGGGGGTTGAGCTTTGGCTCTTTGGTCCCGCCTGTCAATCAACTGGTGTACAGATTCCTGAGCCTACTGGGCTCTATCATATCTACATTTGAAACTGTGTATGGAGTCAGCCTCCACCACATCACTTCCAAGTGCATTCCATTTATTAACTACTCTGACACTGAAAAAATTCTTTCTAACGTCTCTGTGGCTCATCTGGGTACTAAGTTTCCACCTGTGTCCCACCCGTGCTGAAGAGTTTGTCTTTGTCCACCCTGTCAATTCCCCTGAGAATTTTGTAGGTGGTTATCATGTCTCCCCTTACTCTTCTGTTTTCCAGGGATGTGAGGTTCAGCTCCTTTAGCCTTTCCTCGTAGCTCAATCCTCTCATTCCGGGACGAGCCTGGTGGCATAACCGCTGAATCTTCTCTAACTTTGTCTTGTGTTTAACTAGGTATGGACTCCAGCTGGAGCTGCATACTCCAGGATTGGTCTTACATAAGTGGTATACAGGGTTCTGAAAGATTCCTTACACAAGTTTCTGAAGGCAGTTCTTATGTTGGCCAGTCTAGCATATGCCGCTGATGATATTCTTTTGATGTGGGCCTCTGGGGACAGGTTCGGTGTGATATCAACCCCCAGATCCTTCTCTCTATTTGATTCTTGCAGGATTTCCCCTCCCAGATGATACCTTGTGTTCAGCCTCCTGCTCCCTTCGCCTAATTTCATCACCTTACACTTTCCAGAGTTGAACTTCAGCAGCCATTTTCTAGACCATTCCTCCAGTTTATCCAGGTCATCCTGTAGTCTCTGTCTATCTTGTGATTTCTATGATGTCT